ATGACCACGGCTCCAGGGTCTTCGCCTTTGCCTTCACTACCGCCGTCCTGATCTACGTTGCTTCGTTCTTGGGATAGTACATGACTCCATCCCTTGTGCATGCCCTCCCGAAGCAGCTGCTGGACGGCTTCACGCTCCCGTGTTGCTTGGGGAGGTGATGCGCAAGAGCTCCGCTTCCGCCGGTGCCGACAGGCTTTGGCTGATCGTCCAGCTTCTCTGTCGCGGAGCATCGCCGCTTCGGTTTTGTTGGCCGTCGTTCTTGCATGCAATGCACATTGCTTCCTTGCTGGCACCAGCTTCCATGCTCGCGCGCGTGGGCATCAGCGGGTAGGAGTCGCAGGATGGCAATGGCGGCACGCAGTTTTCTGAGGGTCGAAGGTATCAATGCTCCTTGAAACATGCGGCATTGGGGATGGTCATCCTTCAATATCTTGATACAACGTGCTGCAAGCGTCAATACGCCTGTAGTTTCCGAACAATCGATGTATCTGATTACGCTCTCTTCGGCTGGAGCGCCAGCGCCGCGGGCGGAGCAGGGAGAGCCGCCCTACCATCCCCGCATCGCTATTCTCCTCACATTCCTACTATCTGCAGATCTCTACGATCCTTGCATCTCTACTCTCTTCACATCTCTGCCCTCTCACGTTCATATTCTCTCGACGTCTATACCCTCTTCACATCCATACTCTCTCTCTCTCTCTCTCTTTATGCGCTTACCCTCTTGCGTCCTTACTTTCCTCACATCCCTACGCTCTTCAGATATCTGCTCTCTCTCTCTCTCTCACACGTATCTCTACTCCCTCACATTCCTACGCTCTCCACCTCTTTTTTTCTTCACATCTCTAGTCTCTGAAATGCCCGCGTCTTTACATCTCTGTTCTTTTCACACTCCTACTCTCTTTCCCAAACGGTCTAAGTGAGGTTCCCAAAAAAAGTGTCCGCGCCGCTCTGACAGCAGCACCCGCAATCAACACCCTACAGCGACACCCTGCAGCGGCGCCCTGCAGTGGCACCAGCATGCCTGCACCAATGCGCACACGCCAGCAGTACTTTCCAAGTACCGCTCAGCAGCAGCGCCAGCATCCCCGCTCCAAAGCGCACACGCCACTGTGACAGCATCGCCTTGAAGCAGCACCGTGCATAGCCAAAATCCGTCCATCGGTTCCACGCAGATCCGGCACTATCTTTAATGATGATCTCGAGCCGCATCAAACAACACAAAATATATATCAACATATGCATATACAAATATATATCTATATATTTAAAATTAATGCAAAAATATATACAGTTAAAGCTGTATCATTTTCAGTTTGTTCTCAGATCGCTTATGACCACTTGAGTTTTATATATATAATAAGACAGATGCGTAGTCGGAGGCCTTATAATATATATATATATATATGTGTATATATATATACGTAGTTCTACATACATATCGACGGATACATGCGCATACCGCGTTGAACAAAAGGGGTGCTTGCTGGTTCCTACCTTAGTGGAAAGAAGTTTAGAAGTCAAACTTCCGACAATATGGACAAGTGATGGACAAGTGAAAAGCAGAGCAGGGAAGAGGCAGAGAGAAGAGAAAGATTAGAAGAAAGGAGAGTAAGAAGAAGATAGATAGATAGAAACATAGGTAGATAGATAGATAGATAGAGAGATAGATAGATCGATAGATACATAGGTAGATAGATAGGTAGGTAGGCAGGTCGAGAAAGAGAGAGAAATAGCAAGAGAGATCAAACACCTTTTGCTCCATCAGTGGCTTTGCTCTGCCGTCCCTGATTCACAACAGCCAAGCACTCCTATAGGTTTCCTATTTTTGAAACTTCCGCCACCGCCTTATGCGGTACTACTGGGATACTGTGAAAGGAAAATCCTTTGCGTGATGAATCAATCTTTGTGATGTTTTGAAAAACACTACCTGTTCCCAATCCCAACTCCCCTCGGGCCTTCAAGAACTTTTCACCTGTCACACCATCACGGTCGCACCAGCCGAGCAAGGTGCCAACGTCCGTAAAGTAGCCGGTGACATGGATGGTGCAAACGGGCAGGGTCTGGCATCTTGATGCTGTTCTAGATATCCTGAGAAGCACAAGATGTTCTGGAACAGATGAAAAGTGAAACCGTCACCTCTATAGTTCGTGGTTGTTTCATGTTCTGTTCATGGGTGAATTCTTCATGGAAAGTCAAGACAAAACCCAATGCAGAGGCAGAGGCTGAGGCTGACTAAAAACTGAACCGCCTGCAAACTAATTTCCGGGCTGTGATCGTGCGGAAAGAGTAGCGGAAATAACAGTATCTCGGTCCAAACGTACAAATATTATGGAACGTTGGAAGGTCCAGGTACTATATAACCGTTACATTCTATCTATATTAAAATATGTATACGCAGGCATTGGTTGATTTTGTTTAGTCTTGTTTAATCTTGTTACGTGCTAACAAGAATGAAGTATCGTGCGGATTTCGATATAAGTATACCTTGATCTTCAAACAAGCACTAATTTTTGGTTGTGTGTTTGTTCGCTTCTGTTTTCGACAAGCTGAGCGCATTTTTCCATCGCGAGTGCCAGATAGGATGTCAGATAGAATGCCAGAAGGTTTCCCAGATAAAGTGCCCGAATGTTTGCCAGAGCATATGCCAGAAGATTTGCCAGATAGAATGCCAGAAGATA